ATCTAAAGTAGACAAAGTAACTGTTCAATAAATATTTTGAATAAATACCAAGTAATATTTTCTGATGCAATAAGCATCAGACCTTAGGAAAATTTGGGATCCAGGATTCAAATGCAGGTATCTGACTCTAAAGCCAATGATCTCAGCCATTACATTATATACTACTTCTCACTGAGGCAACTCCATGAGACAGGATGTGGTGCTTTTCCAGATGGATGCTACAAAGAATATTTGACAACGAACCTAGAGTAATTTGAAAATAACTTAAGCAAATAGCTAAAAATATATTTTTTTATATTAAATGTACTTGATTCACCAGCCTTGCCCATCCAAACTGAAAACACAATTTTGGTACTACCTTGCTTCCATCCTAAATTCTCTTTCTGGGTATAAATCACATTGCTGTGAACAGAATCAAGTTCCTTTCCTGCAAACAGAAATTCCATGTGAGAAGAGAAAAAAAAGGAGGAAAGAGGGTAGAAAACAAATCTGGCAGAACTTTACTCTAGTGCAGGCAAATGTACTCAAGAGTAAATGCAGGCTAACTCTCTACTGCCAATCCAGGCATTCCATTCGCAGATCAAGGCAGGTTGGAGAAAGCAGGTGAGGGTGGGAAACAGAGGGAATGTTTGCAGGTATAAGAGAACTAGATTTGCTCTGAAGTGAATAGTCCCAGAGGTTAAAAACCAGGTATGCAAAAATATGCCTATTTCTGTGATTCAAAGATATATCTGCAAATGGAGATTTAAAATTTATGGATTTGAATGTTACAGAGGGATTGTGCTCACTCTTGCTTCTCACAGCCGCCAACAAAACTGCTCATCTTTCATCCTGTGTTCACTCATTTACCTTGATCCCTGAAGCATGTGAGTTTGTGATATCTATAGACTTAGGTGAAACGTGTACACATTCCTTTCTTTTGAAGTTACCGCTTTTATAATTTGAATAGGATCATATTTTCTACCCTGGCCCTGTTCTCTCCAACTTATAGACATTGGAATGTCACAACAACCCTTTTATAATAAATCACTAATTATAGATACCTCACTTTTTCAATTGATCTAGGTTGGATGTTAAGGTCAACCATTGTAATTTAGATACTGGCTTTTGAGAATGAATGTAAAAAGCCCTTCAAAGCCTGACTGGGCACTCGTGACTTTCTCTGTAGTCCATTTGGTCATCAGTCTGTTCTGCAGCTTCACTAGTGTGTATGTTGTGGTTAGAACCCTTGCTATGCAGTCAGATGGGTGCATTTTATACTCCACAGGACATAATCGTGTTTTTCTGCTCTAGAGAAAAATCTGATTGTGCCCAGTCCAATGGGTTTTTCAGATGAACGCCCCAAGGCACAGAGTCTCTTTCTTAAAAAGGCTCAAAATACATACACATTTATATTATAAAGTCTATATGACCTAACATTGCGTACATGAAGGGGAAGTCTCTTTGGCTGCAATGACTGAGTGTTCAGCATTCCAAGGATAGGTGAGTGGGTATTTCCTGGGACGAGGGACCCATGTTCTGGGGTAGCTGTAGGGTCTACCTTCTTACCGTATGGAGCAGCAGCTGCTTCTGCTATTGGAAATAAAAGGGAAAATGAATTACGTGTGGTTGTGGAGTCAGAAGCAAAGATGGAAGGTTCCAGGGGTTTGTGGGACTCATAGATCTTCCAATCCTCTTGGCTCTAAAGGACTTGGGGTAAAAGGGGAAGGACACGTTGGAGGTGGCATTCAGGAAAATCCATTTTGCCAAACACGTAAAATCATCCTGTGTGTGCATTCAAAGGAAATGGAAGCCATATGTTTCTGATTCATTTACATGTAATCCATCAAAATATTATTTTGTAAGAGATATTTAATGTCCACAAAACCTGCCAAGCCTTCTTATAAACATTTTTTCCAAGGGACCAGCTGCATTGAGGCAGCTGTATAAGAAGTTATCCTTAAAAAATAGAACTGGTTTCAAAGTTTCAAGCACATTTTAAACTTCCCAAGGGCTGGCTGGCATGATAGTAATAGCACATGCTTTGGCGCTAAACAGACTTGAATTTAAAATCAGGTTTACTTCTTATTAATCATCAAATGTGTGTGTGTGTGTGTGTGTGTGTTTAGTATCTAATTTGTGCTATGCAGAAGACACAATATTGAAATAAGGATATAATACTTGACAAGTGGAATAAACAATATCCCTCTTACTATTAATGTAGTTACTCAGCTTATCTGAGCCTATATTTTCCTATTCTGAGAAATGGAACTAGTAATTCTCACCCTAAAAGGTCTTTAAGAAAATCACTCAGTGTGTAACACAATGCCTGACATACTAAACACACTCCAGCTTCCCTCCATTTTCAGTGTCTTTCCATTTGAAGCCACTTTTCCCCTTCAATCTGTCTGCACACACACCCACACACAAGGCTCCTGCTCCTTTGATACCCACAAAGACCACAATCATTGAAATGCCTCACATATGTTTGGCTCGTTATCCACTAGGTCCAAGTGGCTCCTTTCTCAGAAATGCAAAGTAGTATGCTTTATTTATTTATTTATTTATTTATTTATTTATTTTTTAAGCTGAGCCATCCTGCTGCCTCTTGGCAGCTCAGCGGCTGCTCAGCTCGGGCTGGACTCGAACCGCTGTTGCTCAGAGTTCAAACTCTTGAGTGAGCTCTTAACCAACTGAGCCACTCGGCCGGCCCATGCAAAAGTAGTATGCTTTAAACTAGAACTAAATGACAATTTGTATTGACGATCGTGAAAAAGAAGCACAGAGTCAGAACAAACCGAACTTGTATTTTGGGTTTGCCATTCACAGCCTTTTCATCCTGGTAAAGTTTCTCGACTTCAGGTTCTACACCTGTAAAATGGGATTAAAAGGACCTAATGTGTAGTGTTGCTGTGACAATTAATTGGAATAATACATGGAAGGTGCATAGCCCAATAACGGCCGATCTTATTGCTTCCATAAAAAGTAAATCAACACATTTCATTTCAAGGGTTTAACGTTCAAAACCATAAAATTGCAATCTGCTTGATAGGTCATAACCTGATAAACACTTGAACTGTAGACAATCTGATAAACTCATCAATTCCACCCACAAACATACATACACATATGAGATCGGACAATTAAGTTTACAAACTCATCCTAGAAAAAGTACTCATACCTTATTGCTGAATATATCACCATGGTCACCTTCGAAGTACTCCCCTTGGGAAGCTATGCACCAATGCCAGAGCCTAGTTCACCCTTCAAAGCAATTTTGGAACTCTTTTTCTGGAATGGCCATCAGAGTTGTCATCGTATTACCCTTGATGTCCTGAATGTCATCAAAATGTCTTCCTTTCAATATTTCCTTTATTTTTGGGTAAATAAAGAAGTCATTCGGGGGGCAGATCAGGTGAGTAGGGAGGGTGTTCCAATACAGTTATTTGTTTACTGGCTAAAAACTCCCTCACAGACAATGCCGTGTGAGCTGGTGCATTCACTGCAAGAGCCATGAATTGTTGGTGTAAAGTTCAGGTCACCTAACTTTTTCACTCAGCCTTTTCTGCACTTCCAAATAGTAAACTTTAACTGTGTTCCAGTTGGTACAAAGTCATAATGAATAATTCCTCTGATATCAAAAAAGGTTAGCAACAAGTTAGCGAACCTAATTGTCAGACCTTGTATGCTGCCTCAAAATCGTTTTCTTGGGCCGGCCAAGTGGCGCGTTTGTTAAGAACTGGCTTGGGATGCCAGAGGGCCCCGGTTGGGATCCCACATATGAGGGCCAGTGACACTGCCCTCTACAGCTAAGATGCTGAACAACAGCTAGACCTGGAGCTGGGCTGTTGTGGGTCGCTGGTGACGGCATAGGTTGCAGCCCCTGCTGCAGTGGGCTGCCATGATCTACCATGTGTAGCCGGCAGCCAGTGTGAGCGGCCAGCAGCCGCCATGAGCGGCCATCCAGAGGCCGGCGACTGATCTGCCTCGCCCCAGAAGAGCGCAATGATGGTGCCAGCTTGGGCCAGTGAAGCAAACAACCTCCACAACTAGACTGAAGAACAAAACAACAGCAACTTGTCTGTTCCCCTCCCCCAATTCCCCAATAAAATCTTTTAAAAAAGAAATCCTTTTCTCAGTACTCCATGCAACCTCTACAAATCATTTGGAGCTGGTAAAGTAAGGTACACCAATCTCATCCCTGATGGAATTCATCAGTTTGTATGATCCACTCTTCTGAAACTTCAAGTCTATTCAACAGGCATATATTTAGCACTTATCAGGCACCTGCTCATGGAGTTACAGAGATAAATAAGCTATGACCCTGTCTATCAGGTGTACTACAAGGTAGAATAAATAATTGCTAAATAGAGATATGTATTGCTACAGAGAAGAGGAGCATTAAAGAACTGGAGGAAAGGAGGATATACTTTTTTTATTACTTGTTCACTTTATCCAGAGTGCCTAGCATAGAACTAGCAAACTGGAAAGATCAAAAACTGTTTGCTAAGCAAATAAATGAGACTGATTTGCTGAGCACCTATTGTGTTCATTTGACATCTGTTCGATTAGAGAACAATGCATACTAAGTGGAAAAGTTGGGGGACATCTAACGGAGAGCAGCATTTCAGCTCGATTATAAAGAATAAGACACTTCATGCCAGGGAGAAAGAAGATACTGCAAGCAGAAGCAATGACCTAAACGAATATGAACAAATATATGAAAATTCACAGCCTAAGGACACTCTATGTTTTTATAGGTTTGGAATATATGCATAGTCCAGGCCACCTCCTATGTTTGCACAAACAGAAGAATTACAATGCCCATGTCCAAGTGGAATAAAGAGCTAGGTCAAAGAAAGGTGGTAAAGATGCCAAACAGAGAAGCTGCTATTCGTAGTTTTTTGGACTTCACTAATGCTATTTTTTCCCAGCAGTCACTGCTGCCTGCTTGATCATTAGCACCCGAACATCTTGTTTGTTTCCACCAGACGGAAGTAATATACAATTATGCAAATTACCTTAACTCCAAGTAAGGAATCACAGGCCAGTCAATAACGTTGATGCATTATGAAAGGGCAACTCCTCCTGGAAGAAATAACACAAGGAGCCGATCATAAGCAAACATTTTGAAGCCTGCAGAGGACTGGTCCCTGCAGCGCAATCTATTATCATATTTCCACATAATTAGTTTGTTTTCCACTTGAAATCAGAAAACGATTCGACATTGCCTTCCCTGCCTCAGGATGGCAGAGCATCCAGTGGAATTCTCCAGCGAAGGTTCATATGGTGAATAATTAGTGAGAATTAATCTGTGGAAATTAAAGTTTGGAATATTGTAGAACTCATGAATAGTGCATGGGACAACTGGGTGGAAGAAGAGAAGAGCAGTGCTTGTGGTAGACAATCACAGATGACTGCTGGCAATCCGTTTTTTAATCAGTGCTGCCTAAGCCAGAGGGTTGAATATGGCTACAGGCTGTGGAGGAATAATGTCAAATTTTTACAGGCAGGATAAAGAAACATTGTTGAAGACACCTATCTCTGTGTTCATTTTCAGTCATTTTTATTTGGATGGGATGCTCTGGAAACTGAGGGTTTTTCTCCAAACTACGCTAATGGCATTAACTATTTTAATCCTTGCAACTACCCTGTGTCTTCAACTTTATTATACCCATTTTACTGGGAAACTGGGACTTACAGGGGCACAGTGACGAGCTGGCTGGAGTCAGCAGATTCTAAGTGGAAGCACTGAGATGAAAAAGCAAGTCTTTCTGAATGCAAAACCCAGTAGCTTAATGATAAACAATGGATGGGCTGAAATCAAACTGATGTAGGTTCAAATTCTTAGTCCACCTATGCATCAGTTTCCTCAACTGAAGTGTATATGATGCAGATATTTAATTTATAAAATTGTTTGAGAGTTACATGAAAAGTACATGTAAGTCCTTCACACAGTATCTGGCAAATGGAAGGACACAATGAGTTATATTTATATGAAAATGATAATACAAATAATTTCTCAAAGGTTACTCTGACACTAAAAAATATAAGCATCACATCACGCCTTGCAAATAATCCCCTCAAATGATTTCAGGATCAAGTTGTAATTCCCTCTCTCCTATAGCCTTATGATGGCGGTTTTTCCAAGCTTCTGCTAACCTGAAAATAAATTTCAATGGAAAATTTGCAAGCGATCAGAGTTAATGCCTCCAAATATTAAATGACTGAAAAAAAGAAATGGGACAGCAGGAACACACAGCAGGGGAGCATTTTTTAGAAATAGAAAGCAAATATATTTTTTTGTGGGTTATAGAGTAGTTTTATTTTCCATGGCTGTAGCATACTTAAGCAGTAGTTGCTTATGATTACCAGAATGATATGGTCACCAGAGTTGAAAATAGAGTGAAATTAAAAGAAACAGAGCACATTTTCAAAGGAACAGGTAGTTTATTTTCCCCCAATTATAAATTTAAACCTTATTATAGAAGAAAACTACTGAAAAGTAGAAAGAAAGAAAAAATCACTATAACCTTAACGATTCCCCCCTCCCCCTCGTTAACATTTTTGACATTTTGGTGGTTTCTTCCAATTTTTTTTCTGGACATATTTTTCCATAAGTGTTGTCATACTCTATCTGCAATTTAAATTTTTATTTTTACTTAAAATGGTAAAATAGATACTTTTTACAAAAGTTCTAAAAGCATTTTAGAACATTTTTTTAAAGTAAGACATTATCAATGTACAAAATATTAATTGCTCTCAATACAAGGAATTGTTTTCAGATTCAAAGATCACCTTTTGTTTCTTTATCCGAGAGAGTGGTTTCCAATCCAAATGCACATTTGCCTCTCAGGCATCTGTTCGATTTGGAAGAGGTTTCCAGATTGAGTTGAGAAATGGTCATTACAGTTAAGCTGCAACTTCAATCTTGAAAATGAATGAATGGATCCAGTCCAGTCCTTTGGCTGGGACCCAGTCTTTAAAATCCAGTGGAACAATGAGTATGTGGCTTCACAGCCAGCTGGTATCAGGCTTGGGCAGGGAGAGTGTCAAAATATTAGTGACTTTTTTACATTTGTCAAAGCTGAGGCCAATACAAGAAAGGCAGACAGCTTGCAAATGTGGGTTGTGCACCAAAGGGTTTTTGTGTGTCTGCAATTTTTTTTTTCAGTCTTGCCCACCGGATGTCAACATTTCCTTGCTTTCTGACTACATCTCCAGGAAAGACAGAATGAAATATCTTTTACTTTGAATATGAAAACCACGATAGATTTATCATCAACACATCAGCCATTAATTTATTATACCTGGGCAATGTACTCAGCTGGAATAAAGGGGCCATCAGCATTTCCATGGCAATCTCTCCTTTTCTTTCCTTGGTTTATAACTCATCTGCTTACTCAGTTGTTCCTGAACCTGGCAGGCAAGGTCTCAGTGGGAGAATAAATATATTTATACAAAATGTTTAAGAAAGGATGCCCACATTGAGTTAGAAAAATAAGCATATGCTAGTGCTGTCTGGCACTCTTTGCAATTCCTGTATCTCTCCAAAAAGGAAAAAAATCTACAACTGAACATTTTCATTTTATTTTTAAAAGAAACATTGCTGGCAGCCAACGTGCAATATGGGCTTAATGGGTTTTTGTGTGGGTTTTTTTTCTTTCTTTCTCTCCCTCTCTCCTCTTTATCTTTTTTTTTGAAACACACACACACACACACTCACACACACACACACACACACACACACACACAACTATAAAGAGAATAAGCTCATTGCCTCCCAAATAAAATAAAAGCAATTATTCACATACATAGGTAGCTGAGATGTCTCTTTCTCCATCTCACTTCCATGTTCCTGAGATGAAGGTGGGCTGTTTTGTGCACATGACCGGCTCACATTCCATGCACCTGGTGAGAAACAGAATTGAATCAAACACCTCTAGATCTGTGTCATCTCCTTCTATCATTTCTGAACTGCGTGAGCTTAGACACATAAACCTTGCTAAGACTCAGTTTCCCTCTTTGCAATATGGAGACACTAAATATTCATGTGGAGATGTTATTGTGAATAGTGAGTAGCCCTGGGTCAGGCATTGAATACCCATTTTACACATGATTGCTGCCTTTCTCTTTTTGCTGCATGAGATGAGCTCCATCCATATTAAAGTGGAAGGAGAAGGAAGAAGAAAAAGAGGAAGAGAAGGGGGAAAGAAGGGAAAAGAGGAAAAGAGAAAGAGGAGATGGAAGAAGGGGAAGAAGAGGAGAAGGAGGACAATAGCAGAGCCCGTGGAGCCACTTATAATGATACTGAAAAATAATCAGTAATACTTCTGCAATATTTGCGGCTATGAGGCATTTGTCTTATTGCTGGGTCATTCAAGCTTTGCAGAATTCTAGTGAACTAATTAGTATTATGATTATTCCCATTTTGCTGATGCAAAAACTGAAGGTCTGAAAGATTAAACAACTTGCCCAGAGATACTGTATTTTGAATGGCCAGCCAGACAGAAGGGAAACAATGACGCTGATGATGTTCGACAATGGTGAGCTGTCTCTAAGCACTGTGCTCCTGGAAAACGGCAACGGTCAAGAAATCCCCTTTCCTTTTTATGTTCCCCCAAATGGCTTACTGCGAAGAACCACCCTGCCCTGTGTGTGACGTACGCATGACTCGTGGATGACCCTCTTCTTTATCTATGAAAAGACCAAATGCAGACCTTCTAAATTCCCATTCTTTGTTTCATACAGAACTAACTGGACTTTTCTTCCCATTGACCAATCTAGATAGAATGCCCATAACTTGACGTGACTAAACTTTTCTCAGGGTTCTCCCCTTCCCCCCAGGTCTCTGAACTTTGGTCCACCACTGAGCATGGGGCTGGAAACAACCCCTTCTTAACCGCCAGACCTGAGAGTCCGCTGGCCTCATCAGTGCTCACTCCTCCCTGTAAAAAAAAAAATCCCTTTTCTGTCTGAGATGCTTGCAGATCTTATGGTCAAAGCAGCTTCTATATTGCAATAGTTTCACTGTAATTATTGCAATATTCCTTTTACTTGTTTTTTGGTTTTGTTTTTTTGTTTTTTCTTTAAGCTGAGCCATCCTGTCACCTGTTGGCAGCTCAGTGGCTGCTCAGCTCAGGCCGGGAATCGAACTGCTGTTGCTCAGAGCTCAAACTCTTGAGCGAGCTCTTAACCAACTGAGCCACTCGGCTGGCCCTGCAATATTCTTTTTAGATAAAGCCTCTCCTTACTTAAGTCCAGGCTTGTTTCCATTTGACATGTAATAATACTAATGATTGTTAGCATATGTGCAGTACTTAGAATTAAGCATTTTTACAAGAATCAATAACCTGTATTTGTATGGAGCTACATGGGTACGTTTTTTTAAATGCTTCCCCATCAATTACCCCTTCAAAATGATTCTTCATCATTATTCCCCATTTGAAAAATAAAGCCTGTGAGGATGAGAAATGTCACAGAATCTTGTAAATGAAAGTAAAGGAAGCAGTTCTGGACAAGAATATAAGCCTGCTGTTAACTAGCCCACTATTCTATCACTTACTGCATGAAAACAAGCCAGGCTGGGCTTATGGTAGTTTCAAATAGGCCAGTCTTTTGTGGATTGATGATAAAGGTGGTGAAGTTTAAGCTGTAGGGCTCTTCACTTACAGAAATCACCTCCAAAACCTAATTTTGATTCATAATTGTGTTTTCTTTTCCTTAGAGAGTCCCCACCAACTGCATAATCTTCAAGCCCCATAAAACTCCTAAGAATATTGCCAATGTGCTGTATTTTGAAAAGTATATGCATATGTTTCTACCCTCACAAAATCACTCCTTTCAGGCAGTACAAAGCCAGAGTTTCCACAAAGACAGTTTTTTATTAAAGCCCTGGGTTTCCCAAAGTGTATTCTGCATAATGCTGATTTTATGAGACACTAACGGATGATCCACACACAAAAAAAATTTATTCAAACAAAGAAAAATTATTAAATTAGAAAACCTATTTTTTCTTAATCTGCAGGATTCCTAAGAGCCTTTAATATGTTAACGAATACAGCGATTCTCAAGAATTCTTTTTAAATGGAACAACTACTTGCATTAACATTTCTAAGAACAGCTTTAAGAAATGCTGGATTAAGGAACTGCATCTCCAAGGCACCTCTAAAAGGAAAGATACAATGGGATGTGCTAAAATAAATTAATGAATGACTCTTATACTTTAGGATAAATCAATTAATCAGGTGAATTTTTAGGTTCTTAGCAAGACCCTAATGCCATAGAACACCCTAAAAGGGTCAATTTGGATAGGTAGTCAGACAGGACCTTGAACCTGGGTGATGCCTTGGCGGGTGGGCTAGATGGTACCCCAAGGTGTGTGGAAGCATTTTGTCTATTACAAGAAGCAAACCCAAGAAGGCAGGAGATACTTAAGTGACAGAAGCCCTCCAAAAAGAGGAGGTGGGGTTCAGCAAACATTAGCTTCAGTCATTGAAAGGCAACAACCAGCATGTATACAACACTTTTTAGCTAAAACAATTATTTTAAAAATTCTCATTTGCTTCTTTACTATTAGGAGCTCAGGTTTGGGGAAAGAGTATTGGCTTGAAAGTCCAACAGATATGACTTTGAATACCAGCTCTTCTACATCTAGCTGGTATGAAACTGATCACTTTACCTCCCTGAGCCTGGGTTTCCCCATTTTGAATGTGGAGACAATAATATCTGCCTCAAGAGGTGGCTATAATTCATTGAGAAACTGCCTGTGAAAGAGTAAATTCAGAAACTGATATATAGTAGGGCACTAAAAATATCTGTGGATATCTGGATCTGAACTACGACTCTGGGAGGTAGGTATTTTTTTAACTTCCATTTTGTAGATGAGGAAACAGGCTCAGAGAGATTATATTTCTTGTTCAATGTTACTCAGCAAGAGATCACATGAGCAGAACCTCAAATTCCGAACTACTGATTTTGAACCCTGGCTTCTTTCCACATGCCAAGTGTTTTTTTGTTTGTTTTGTTTTGTTTTGTTTTGTTTCATTTTTCTATAAGTTTGCCTTGGGTCACTCCTATAGAGCATTTGTGAAATAGCTAAAAGATGCCTGAGGGTATAGTCTGCATTTTCTCAGAGAAAGGATCAAAACTGGTCATTTGGCAGATTACAAAGTAAAGTCCAAACTCCTTAGTATCTTAGGAAAGACCGATAGGGTCTGGCTTCTACCTACTTTTCCAGATGCATTCCTTTCCACTTCATCACTTTATACTTTGAGCCCCAATTATACTAAACTTGTATTTCCCAAAATATACCTGCTGTTTCACAGTTTCTTGGATTTCTTCATGCTGCATAAACCTCCCATTTCCTCCCTACCGTTTTTTTCACTAAGATAATGATTACTCTTCATGATTCACTTTAGGTGATTGTCCTGCAAGCTTTCTCTGACCTCCTTAGGCCAGCTTTAAGGTACTCATTATTTGCTTACATAGCAACCTGCCCAAACTTCTATCATAGCACTGATCACACTGGAAGTATACATTTTCATTTATGTATCTCTTCATCTACATAATTGTTTCTTATGGAAGTTTTATTGCAAGAAACAGAAGGCTATTTAAATTCTCTTAAGGCCTCATTGAAATCCAAAAATGAAAATAAACAATCAGGTCTCAGGACATCAAGTGTAGCCCTTCCCAGGGACCAGGGCAGCAGGAATTCATAGACATCCGTATTCCACCATATACGTAACTCAGGGGCTAACTCCCCTAGTACTCATTCCTTTAATTCAAACTTTTCATAAAGAGAAACGGACTCCACTGGGTCAGGTGTCTATCCATAGACCAAAAACTGTCTCCAGAAGAGGGAACAAACTGTTATACACATCTGATCCATCCCTTCCTCAGGGATGTGAGGCACTTCCAAGAAGTAATGTGCAGGCTGGACAAGGACAAGGAGAACTCAAGTATGGGGACAGGATCTTAACCACCTTTATATTCGCACTGGCTAGCATAGTGAGAGAACATTGTGGACACGCTATAAATATAAATGAGAGAGATGACTTTTACCATTTAGAAAGCCGGCAGCCTCCTTGAGTCCAGCCCCCGTCTCTCCAAATAGATGAGACCTTGGGTTACGAGAGATTAATTTCATTTGGCCATCAGGCAGGAGTGCTCACTCGGCAATTTTTAAATGCAAATCCAATTGTGGATTGCTCACAAGGTAATTTTGCCTTATTTTCTTCTTTTTTTGAAAAAATTGACTAGGATGCAATTCCAAAGGATAATGACCACAACCAGTTATATTAAAACGTCAGATATAAAGTAGAAGTAATTATCTGTCCTTCAAGAAAATCTTGATGTATGGAGCCAAAAGCCCATTATATAGTTCATTCATCAACATTTATTCAATACCCACTATGTACACAATATTGTGCTAAATGAATAAGAAGCTTTCAAAGGAAGGTGGAGACCAGCTTCTGCTCGGAGGAAGTATATAGAAAATGGGCTAGAATAGATTGTTTGTGACCACAGAATAGATTAGAGTTAATGAACTCACACTGAACTCAAACAGTACACTTTACTAAGTATGTGAAAGAATAGGAAGAGTTAGCCTGAAAAAGAAAAGATGAAGTAGAAAAACAGTAGCTATTCACTTAACAAATATTTATTAAGCAACAATTATGTACTACACATTGTAATAGGTACCTGGGGGCTTGTTGTGGACCTTGTATTCTATTGCAGGGACATGGGTAATAAGCAAACAAATACAATAATTTCATATAGAGTTATCTGAGAAATACAACAAGGTGGTTCAATAAAAGTGATATATTGCTTTAACATGGTTTCTTTAGATATGGAAGCCAGGAATCACTTCTCTGAACTGAATCCTACATGATAAGGAGGAACTAAGCATG